GCACATCAAATCCATACCTCCAACTACTGTACCTGTAATTTCTTTCACTAAATTATAAATGCTTCCTTCTGATAAACAGAAATTAAAGCAATTCTGCTCCTTAAGTTCTTGATTAGCTATTTCACAACATTATGTTGGCAAATATTTACTGATTGCTAACTGTATGCCAGCACTATTCTAGTTGTTTGGGGACAGGACAGCAAACAAGACAGCCCTGTCATCTGGTGGAGGGAAGCCAGACAATAAACGTAACAAACAAGGTAATATATACTGAAAATAATATGATACGACAGCAATTGAAGGCACTACTTGAAATAAGGTGAGGCCAGGCGCAGTGGCTCACGCCTGTAATTCCAGCAATTTGGGAAGCTGAGGCGGGTAGATCACCTGAGATCAGGAGTCCAAGACCACCCTGGCCAACATGGTGAAACCCTGTCTCCACAAAAAGTACAAAAATTAGCCAGGCACCGGGTACGGTGGCTCACACCTGTAATCCCTGCACTTTGGGAGGCTGAGGCAGGTGGATTACCTGAGGTCCGGGGTTCAAGACCAGCCTGGTCAACATGGTGAAACCCTGCCTCTACTAAAAATACAAAAATTAGCCGGGCATGGTGGCACACACCTGTAATTCCAGCTACTTGGGAGGCTGAAGCAGGAGAATCACTTGAACCCGGGAGGCGAAGGCTGCAGGGAGCCGAGATCATGCCACTACACTCTAGCCTGGGTGACAAGAGTGAAACTCTGTCTCAAAAAAAAAAAAAAAAAAATTAGCTGGCTTAGTGGTGCATGCCTGCAATCCCAGCTACTCAGGAGGCTGAGGCAAGAGAATCACTCGAACCTGGGAGGAAGAGGTTGCAGTGAGCTGAGATCATGCCACTGCACTCCAGACTGGAAGACAAAGTGAGACTCTGTCTCAAAAAAATTAAATTAAATTAAATTAAATTAAATTAAATTAAATTAAACAGATACACGTAACTTAAAAAATCTATTAAGACTCCATCTCAAAAAAAAAAAAAAAAAAGGTGATCAAAGAAGGTCTTTCTGAGGAGGTAATATTTGAGCTTTGATCTAAACAATGAGAATGAGGCAGGATGTGAAGAAGCCCGAGGTAGGCAGAGCCGATTGTATAGGACTTACAGATCAACGTAAAAGAAATTCAGATCTTCACGTTGTTGCAATGAGATATCACTGCAGGGTTTTAAAGCAGAGGAATGACATTTGTTTATGCTACAGAAAGATCACTTGAGAAAATGATGGTCTGAGGTCGGGAGTTCGAGACCACCCTGGCCAACATGGTGAAACCATGTCTCTACTAAAAATACAAAAATTAGCTGGGCGTGGTGGCGTGTGCCTGTAATCCCAGCTGCTTGGGAGGCTGAGGCAGGAGAACTGCTTGAACCCTGGAGGTGGAGGTTGCAATGAGCTGAGATAGTGCCATTGCACTCCAGTCTGGGCGACAAGAGCACAAAAACTCCGTCTCAAAAAAAAGAAAAAAGAAAAAAAGATGGTAATGAATGCTATAGTCAAGCAAATTAAAAGAACTCATCATCTATGAAACATATACTCAGGTAGCCTATTTCTCTAAATTATTTCCTTTAATACAAACAAAAGTCTCATTACACATTATGAAATAAAGGACAGGCCAGGCACAGTGGCTCACGCCTGTAATCCCAGCACTTTGGGACGCTGAGGTGGGCGGATCAAGAGGTCAGGAGTTCGAGACCAGCCTGACCAACATGGTAAAACCTCGTCTTTACTAAAAATACAAAAATTAGTGGGGCTTAGTGATGTGCGCCAGTAATCCCAGCTACTCAGGGGGCTGAGGCAGGAGAATCACAGGAACCCGGGAGGCGGAGGTTGCAGAGAGCCGACATCGTGCATTCCAGCCTGGGCGACAGAGTGAGAGTCCATCTCAAAAAAAAAGGAAAGAAAAGAAGGACGCAGTGGCTCATGCCTGTAATCCCAGCATTTTGGGAGGCTGAGGCGGGTGGATGACCTGAGGTTGGGAGTTCGAAACCAGCCTGACCAACATGGTGAAACCCCATCTCTACAAAAAAAAAAAAAACAAAAATTAGCCGTGTGTGGTGGCCGGCACCTGTAGTCCCAGCTACACAGGAGGCTGAGGCAGGAGAATTGCTTGAACCTGGGAAGCGGAGGTCGCAGTGAGCTGAGATCGCGCCACTGCACTACAGCCTGGGCGACAGAGCGAGACTCCGTCTCAAAAAAAAAAAAAAAAGGATAAAATAAAAATATATCTGGAACATATCCTCAGGTAGCCTATTTCTCTAAATTATTTCCTTTTATATGAACAAAAGTCTAATTACACATTATGAAATAAAGCATAAAATAAAAATATCTCTGGAATCTAACAGTTACTTAAATTTATACTGAGGTCTAAATATAAATATAAGTTACTAAATAATGGATGTCAGAAGAAAAAAGATAAGCAAAGTGGCATCAGGAAAATGAACAGAAAGGCTGGGAATGACAAAGATACCTACTTCACAATTTTTCCTAAAGCTGACTTAGAAACCAAACTCAAACTAAACTAAGTATAACTGTAAAGAAATAAGAACTTAAATGAAAACAAGGCCCATGCATAAACTGTTTTCATTGCGCCCCACACCATTCTGCTGAATATTTCTCTCAAAACACTTTATTTACAGTGAGATCAATGAAGTTCATTAAATGTAAATACAAAATGACTAAAATTACCCTTAATCATTTTAGAAAGTTAAATTCCATTCCGCTAGAAAAACAACATCAATGTATGATGTTGTTTTAGCCAAAAGCACTTAACTATATAAACTACACACAATGCACTTCAACTGACACACTGCCCTCCTGGAGCATTCATTTTTTCACTCTTAAGATACCAACAAAGGAAATAAGCTCAGGCACAATAGCAACAACAGCTGAGGTAAAAAATTCTGGCTTCATTATATCTCATTATTGCTGACTAGAAAAAAAACTGTAATTGTCACTGGTGATCCCACACAGCAGAGACAGGACGGGGACCAACTTATTCTTGCAAATGATGTAACCATACAGTTAAAGCCCCAGAGCCCAAGGTGAGGAAATGTAAAATGCTTGTATAGTTTAGTAAAAATGTTTTAAAATAGGGTGGAGAATAGGTTCTCTCACTCACATTAGAACTGCTTGCAATATATCACTGGTGTACCAAGTACATTAAACATTATTTTACAAAGTTAATGCTGAAGTCAAACCCTAACCCCACCATTTTACTGAGTAACCTTAAGCAACTTAATTTCTGAGTCTTAGTTTCCTCGTTTGTAAATCAGTGATTAAAAAATCTACTTCTCAGACGATTTTAAGGTACAATGAGATGGCTGGGCACATAGCAGATACTTAACATGTGAGTCTTCGATGATGACTGTTAGCATATTTGATGTTTTTGCACGTTATAATTTTATCTCTGGGCAAGAAAGTTTTATTTGATCTGTTATTGGTAAACACAGGTAATTCTGTCTTGTATCTACTAATTTCTCTGCATTATTATTCAAAGAACCACAAAACATCCCTCTCAAAACTTTAAACACAAATAGTTTGAAGCATGGGGCCTATAATTTTGCAAACTTTATCTATCTGTTCTCTAAAAGGTAAACAAATCAAAACACTACAGGAGCAATGGCAAAAGTGAAATAAGGCAGAATAACTGGATGATGGGTCTCACTGGTGAAATGCCGCAGGCAGGAAGCAAAGAAAAATTCTAATAGATATATATGGAGTAAGAGTTAACCCTCTCTTCTCAGCAGGAAACAGTGACTTCTCCACACTTCCTCCTATAAGATTTGAAACCTTCTGCAAACAATCTATGCTTTAACAGAGCTCATTTCTGTAGTAAAGCAGCAAAATGGAAAAATCTCCAGGATAAAGACAAAAAAGGCATAATTGGAGAAAAAGGTACTACATATTCAAAAAGCACATTTCCTTTTGTGATTACCCATGAGATCAACTCAATTGTGTAAAAAGGTATTTGAGGTAATTAAAAAGTAACGGGGCCGGGCACGGGGGAGCTCACGCCTGTAATCCCCGCACTTTGGGAGGCCGAGGCAGGTGGATCACCTGAGGTCGGGAGTTCGAGAACAGCCTAGCCAACATGAAACCCTGTCTCTACTAAAAATACAAAAAATTAGCCGGACATGGTGGCGGGCGCCTGTAATCCCGGCTACTCGCGAGGCCGAGACAGGAGAATCGCTTGAACCCGGGAGGCGGAGGTTGCAGTGAGCCGAGATCGGGCCACTGCACTCCAGACTGGGCGACAAGAGCAAAACTCCGTCTCAAAAAAAAAAAAAAGTAACTGGACACGATTTATATTTTAAGGTATTAATGATGATACTGACCATGACTACAGTATCGCAGTTGTTTCTGGTCAGTATACAAGAAACCTGTATTATATTGCAGCAAACACAGGTACAGGTAAAACCCGGTGGTGCCTCAGATCTATGCAGAGCTCATGCTGCTTCTTAACATTCATCCAGGTAAGGCTCTCCTTACTACACATCACAAGTTTTAGATACATTCATCCAGACAAGGCACTCCGTATTAAACATCACTGGATTTACTACTGCTTAAAACCACAGCTTGCCTACCATCAGGAAAGCCAGAAATCACTAACACGTCAAGGCCTGTAAGAAATAAACAGACGCTACAATTTCCGCGAAGGTTCGGAAAAATCAATACACCTTACAAGGTTCTGAAATATTAAAAATATATATACGTAAATCTCTATGGATCTGGGCCCAACGGCCCAAGGTCACAACAATTCAATAGCTAAAAAACCCAAGAAATGAGTCTCCTGCAATTCAAGACAATCCTGACTAGGAATGGAGTCTGGGTTTGGGAACACTGGGGTCAAACCTTTAATGTGAACAACCCCAACCAAACGCTGAGGCTCCGTGGGAAAACCCCAGGCGTTTCGGGCCACACTTCCTTTCATTTCCCCAGTCTTCCCTTCCCTAGTCACCCCCAACACTCACATCTCCGGAGCCACTTCATCCAGTGGTAGACGATAGTACTGTGGTGTTTTTTGTTCTCTATACACCAAGACGACAAGCCTTGAATGGATTCCATGGTGTTGGTTACCGACTGGAATTTTCGATCCAACGAGGACTCCAGAGCCCCTGCCGAAGAGGCCGACGAGGAGGAGGCCTTACTGCTGCCTCCGCCGCCGCCGGCCGCCATCTTCCCGGTTTGCACAAGCGCTGCTGCTCCTCTGGCGGCGGCGGCGGCGGCGGCGGCGGCGGCGGCGGCGGGAGCGGGCAAAACAATCACTGCGAGTGCGTGAAAGCCGTAGGTGGGGAGGGAGGCTAGGGGGTGGGGATGGTGCACGCGCTGGGCTCTTCTGGAGGTACGGACGGGAACACCAGCTGCTGGGCACGCTGGCAGCTCCTACACGCTGCAAGGAGGGGCTGCGGGTCTCAGAGGTTTTTATCAGTATTGTTCAAGGGGTCGTGTTTAAACCAGTCAGTAATCACGGAAAAATTACGCAGAAAACAGGACCTGCAGAACCTTTCAAACCGCCTGACGCCGAAACTAATGGTTTTATACTTTTCGGCTCTCAGTGCTAAGGCCCTTCCCCGCCCCTATCCCCACACTCCTGTGAGCCAGGTCAGGGGTTAATATCTTAAATTTAATACTACCCGACTGCCCCTTCAGTTGCAGAAATCTTTCTCTCCTTTAGACTGGCTAGCACAGAAAAGGTCCAAGGCTACCTAGTCAGGATTTTTTTTTGCAACGCAATAGCAGCAAAGGGGCAGCAACAGTATCGCGCACGCGCCGCTTAGCCCCACCCCCCCATCCCTGCTTCCTTCTCAACCTTGAAAGCAGAGGGAGGTGTGATGGCGCGGCAATCTGACCAATCAGGAGTGCAGAACCAGAAGCGCGCGCAGGAGCTCTGAAGCCCCCAGGACCCAGGAGGCGCTACGATTATTTGTGCGCCTGCGCAGAAGATGAGCGTGTAGCTGGATGGAAGGAAAAACTAGGCGGGATGGGTGAGGAAGCTGGTCTAAGGTTAGACGCGGGGTGGGGGGTTCCACCGCTCCGCCCCGCCTTTTGCTGCTTTGGTCGCTCTCTTGGGTGTGTTCAGCTCACACAAGAGAGACAGAAAATTCCCACCACTGCGCCCACTGTTAGTCTTTGGCGGCTGCAGCCATCGCCCCCAACTCCTCGGGGAAGCAACGCGCGACAAAATGGCTGGCAGCCATCTTGCAGCACCACAAAAGATGCGCATGCGCCAGCTCCAGTGAGCCATTCACTACGCAGACTCCGAGACCAAACCGTATTTCTCGCTTCCCTTGGAAGATAACATTCACAGCCGCTTGACCATTTAGGTTAGAGGAAAAGGAAATAAATGAAGAAGTGAAAGGAAATTTTCCTCATAAAATTTTTCGAGGCGAAAACAGAATGGCAAGATGTGACCTCATTTTCGCCAGCTATGACACAATCTTAAAATTGCATAATACATTATAGTTTGCAAGAGTCTTTACGTAACTATTATATGAACCTTATAGGAACCATTTTATCGCATGTACCTATGTAAATCCTCTGAGCTAATTTAAAGGCTCCTGTGTTCTCACTAAAAATACACAATTTTATTATAATTCTTTCAACGTCTCCCCACTGTGGCCACGCCTCTTGAGACAGGGAACCTGCTTTGTCAAGTTCATGTCCACTGTTCATTAATTCGACGAGTTGCTGAACCTCTTGTGCCAAGTACTGTTTTAGATGATGGGGAGCAAAACGGACAAAAATCCCTTCCCTCCAGGATTTAGTGGCAGGACACCACAAACAAGTACATTTCAGACAGTATTAAATTCTGTAAAAAGGTGAAGCAGGGTAAGGCAAAAAGGGGTGTGTGTGTGTGCGCGCACGGCACGCACGCGCCAGTATGAGAATGGTGGTATGGTGAAACAGGAAGTCTTCTCGAAGGAAATAACTCTATCTGAACATTGAGAAAAAAGCAACCAAGCAGATATGCGAGACGGGGAGCGGAACATGCTGGCATTAGGAATAGCAAGTGCAAAGGCCCTAAAACACAGCCTCGCTCTGTCCCTGCCCAGGCTAGAGTGCAGTGGCACTATCATAGCACACAGCAGCCTCAATCCTCCAGACTCAAGTGATCCTCCTGCCTTAGCAGCTCAAGTAGCTGGGACTACAGGCTTACACCACCACACCTAGCTAAAACAAAACAAAACAAAATTTTTTTGAGAGGGGGAGTCTCCCTATGGTGCCCAGGCAGGTCTCAGTCCTGGCCTCAAGCAGTCCTCCTGGTTTCAGCATCCCGAAGTGCTGGGATTAAAAGCGTGAGCCACCATGCCTGGTCCTGACCCCACATTTTTTTTCCTTTTTTCTGTAACTCTAGCCAAAGACCCACTTTTTTATAGACTATTTTTTAGAGCAGTTTTAGATTCACAGCAATTGTGTGGAAAGCACAGAGAAATCCGTATACCTCCTGCCCCTACACATGAATACCCTCCCCCATTATCAATGTCACGCACCAGAACGATACATCTGCTACAACTGACAAATGTACACTGACACATTATCACCCAAAGCCCATAGTTTACATTAGGGTTCGCTCTTGGTGTTATACCTTCTGAGTCTGGAAAAATGTACAATGGCATGTATCCACCATTATAGTATCATACAGAGCAATGAAACTGCTCTAAAAACCTCTATGTTCCACCTATTCATCCTTCCCTCCCCCTTAATCCCCTGGCGACTACTAATCTTTTTACTGTCTTCATAGTTTTGCCTTTTCCAGAATGTCATATAGTTGAAATCATTCAGTATGTAGCCTTTTCAGACTGGCTTTTTTCACTCAATAATATGCATTTCAGGCTGGGCGCACCGCCAGTGGCTCAACCTGACCTACGTAATCCCAAGCACTTTGGCCGAGGCCGAGGCGGTGCAGATCAATGCATGTGTGAGGTTCACGCAGACCAGCCTCGGCCACATAGTGAAACCCCTCGATCCGGACTACATAAAAAACTTACACACAAATCTAGTGCGGCATGGTGAGCCCGCAACCGCGTCGTCTCCCAGCTACCTCGAGAGGGCTAGCATGCAGAAGGAATCGCCTTGACACCCGGACGGACGGCGGAAGCGTTTGCCAGTAAGGCGTAGATCCCAGCCTGCTGGCAGCAGACAGAGCAAGACCTTCACCTCAAAAAACACAAAACAAAAAACAAACAACCAAGACATTTCAGTTCTCCATCCATGACTCTCTTTTCATCGGCTTGATAGCCTCCATCTATCTTTTTAGTGCTGAATCAATATCTTACACCCTGTCCAGATGTGCCAGTTTATTTATCCATTCACCTGAAGGACATCACTTGCTTCACAACACCTTTCTTGGGCCAATTATGCAAAATACACAGCTAGTTATACAACAAGTCTCCTGTACAGCCTCTTTGGAGCGCAAGTGATAATATTTTCAATCTCTCTGAATCGAGTTCACAATACTCAGCAAG